CGGGAGCCCGGCTGGGGATCTGCACGCGTGGCTGTGGCTGTGAAGCAGATGTCCCCCATCCTGCCCACCCCTCCACTTCCCAAATGCTCCAGCCCAGGGCCCAGCCTCATCCAGATCCCTCGGGCAGAAGCTCATCAGGTGGACCTTAGGTGGCCTGAGGGGCTGTCAGATGCTGGGCCCCTAGGATCCAAGGTCCCCAACTTCCCCCGTGGCTCCCCCTCCTAGCAGAGCCCTCAGGAGCCCCCAGAGGCATGACAGACAGGCTGAGCCACAGCTGCTGCTGAAGTTCTTTATTTGGAGTGGGGTGGGGTCAGCGGCAGGGTGGAGGCTGCCCTGGCGGTGGTCGGGCTGGAGGCCCAGTCCGGTGCAAGGCTGGTCTGGCAGGGAGGGAGAGCTCTGGGGCGCAGATCCAGGTGGCTGCTACATGAGAAGAGAAGCCCAGATCAGGCCCCACCTTGGGCCACAGGCAGGGACTGCAGGAATGGGCTGTGGGGCCAGAGTGCTTCCTTCTGGGTGCTGGAGGCCCGCCGTGGCCAAGTCTCTGGACATCCTGGGTGGGTGTGGGGGGACTGGACCATGGGGACCAGGAGTGGGGACTGGGGAGTCGACCTTGGCAGGGAAGGACTTCTTGAAAGTCCTGGGGTTACACCCAGGTGCTCCTGACTGAGGTGGCACCACTGCCTGACCCAGAGGGGCCCAGCATTTGGACCTCGAACTCCAGAACCCAGGCCTCTGGACTCCCCAGGATCCTCACAGAGGTCACTCACCCTAGTCATGCTCAGGGACGCAGCTTTCTGTGGAAACCAAGGAAACCAGGGGTGAGCGGGTCGTGTGAACTGGTGCCCAGTCCCTGTCACACCCAGTTCAGACCCTCCGTGAGCAAGACCCGAGGGGGCCAGCATCACAGGGGACACGGGGGATGGGGCTACAAAGAGACTCGAGGGACATGCAAGAAGACTGGGGACACAGAGGGGACACAGGGATGCAGAGAGACACAGGGCCACAGAGGGACACAGGAGAAGATGCAGTCAGAGGCGTCCGCTCACCCCTCTGCTCAGGGATGATTATTTTCTCCTGCGGGAGTCGCTTGCGCTGTGCGAATTTCCTAAATTCCTCCAGGGCCTCGGGGTTTTCCTCAGGGGTCCTCCCTGCGGGACAGGAGTCAGGTGAGGTGGGAGAGGGACCTGAGAGGGGACTGGGAGCTCTGAGGGGGGACGGAGAGGAGGCAGAGCCCACCGCCCAGCTGACAGGTGCCTGGGGCCCTGAGCCGCCGTGTGACCCAGGGGACAGGGTGGCTCCCAAGCAGTCCTGCAGGTCACATGCTGATCTGGAAGGACCCCACGGCCTGGAGGTGCTGAGCCATCCCCTGACCCTGGAGGGGCCCTGACCCCTAAGGCCTCTAAAGACCTCTCCCTTCCAGCTGCCCTGTCCTTATGTCTGAGACCCCAGGAAGCGGCCCTTGCCAGCGCCCATGGCCGCAGCGTCCCTCCTGAGTGGCCAGGTCCCCGAGGGCCATGTCTGCCCCGTCCCTGACCATCCTGCCCTGAGATCTCTTCCGGTCAGAGCTGGCACCCTGCCTGCAGCACGCTGTGCCTGGAACCCGGAGGGTGGCCCAGGGGCGTCTGAGTTCCTGCGGCCAGGACGTGGCTTCTCCAAGCCAAGATGGTGGGCTGGGGTCTCCGGGCCCCTCACCCATGAGCTTCCCCATGCCGAACGTCTTCTGCGGGCCCTGCTTCTCGCAGTAGAAGATGTAGTGGTCCTGCACAGGCAGCTCCTCCACGTAGATGAGCTTCTTGCCCTCGTCTGCAGACGGAGAGAGAAAAGCGCTCTTCAGTGCCTTCCTTCCCTGAGGAGGCGTTGGAGACCACGTTAGGGAACAGTCAGGACGTGTCCAGTGTCATCCAGGGCCCCTGCCATCCCAGGGCCAAGCCCTGCTGTGTGCCCATCACTGGGCAGGAGCCCTCTCTCCCCCGGAAGGAGCCAACCCAGCTGTGGATTCCAGATGTGCAGGCCAGGGACATTGAGGCTGGAGCTCGACCCCAC